ACTTGGACTTAATGCTTGATTTTCTACATAAAGGATGAAAAGAGGAAGGAACACAGAAACAAAAAAAATAAGCAGGTTGGGTTTCTCAGAACAGACAACGAGAATATAATGAAGAAAAGAAGATAAATGAGTGACAATACTCACCACATTACACAAGAAATCAATAAACTAGTTCAAACACCAGCTCACACACCCACACAGTACAAACCAGGGCAGTCGAGCCACAGGAAGACACGCAAGCAAATGTGTCCTGCCTCTCTGCACCACTCTTCCCAGTGCTCCCCGTTTTGGGATGAGCATGCAAGCTGGCCACCAACCCAGTTATCTGTCACCTACATAATCGAGAGCATATGATCGTGCATATGTCAAGGAAACCTAAAATTCTCCACATGCTGATGTATGATATAAATAAATGAGACACACACATCTCTGGAGTAACATACTGCAATTACTCAGAACAGAGAATAATGTCTCAATGCTGAACTTGAAGAAAAATTGGAGCAATAGACAACGGAGATCAAGAAAATCACAGAATGTTTGTGGCAATTGAGACTACCTGCTGTCTTACCTTGTCCCATGCCAACACCTGCGAGCGCGGCACACCGTTACACTCAGGACGTATTTAACTCTTCACGGGATCCAGATTTTAGTTTGCAAATAGGCTTTTAATATATTTTTATTCCCAAATTCCAGCTTTAATGAAATTTGAGCTGAAAAGCAAGAAAAATAATACCACGATGCCTCCTGGGCTTCCGCATAGGCAGCAGGAGTCAAACTGCACATTCCCTGCACACAAAGCCAGCCAGAGAGCAGGAGCCTTTCCTCCTCTGGAGAGCGAGGCAAGCAGGACTCAGCTCTGCAGTCACATTCTGCGAGGCCCCAAGGCAGGGCACGGGCTGAGGTAGGGGGAAGTTTGCTGATGCTCCAAGTGTTTGCCCTCAATTCCAGGCATGTAAGAACAGCCTTGAAATCAGTGACTCCCTTTGGACTGTCTCATACCTTTGGCAGCCTCAGTCCTGCCCAGTATAAAACATCCCTGTGAACAGCAGTAGCAGAAAGCAACAACAGAGAAAGTATCCCAATACAAAGAAGGAAAATGGAGCTTTGAGAGACATATAGTAAGTAATTCTGCATTTGGATGTGTCCCCCTGCAGGCAGATTACTACAAAGCTGAAGTGGCCTCACAGCTTGTTTCGTTTTTAGGGAACTGGTTAAGCTACTACTTGCTTTTTGCGGCTATATTCTTTGCCATACTGAAGGCTTATCAACAGTGAAATGTTTAAATAGAGGAAGAGCTTTATATATTTCTGCAACATACACAAATTAGTATCTCCTCCTTCTTGTTAACACTTCCAGACAAATGAATTCTGTCTCCTTTCTCCCTGACGGCCTTCTTTGCTACCAGAAATTGTTTCCTTATACTTCCTGTGAGGCAGCAGCTATATTCATACTTGCTACCTGCATCTATTTGGTCTTTCTTTTGCCCTTCCCTAACAGGCATGGCACTTTCTGTAATCCTTATTTTCCTGCTCTTCTCTAAATTCTCAGCAATTTATTTCCATACTGCAAGAATCATCTGTTTGTTACAGTGGCCCTTTGACTGCTTTTAATCACCAGCACTACTAAAAGGACTTAAGTTGACAGGGTAACACTGAAATATTCAGTATGAAATACAAAGCATATGCACACCTGATAATTGCTCAAATGAAGAAAACCAAAAGATTCCTTCCAAAAGAAAGAAGGCACAAAATTTCAACTGTAGAGAAAAGCTACCTCTTGAAGCATGCTGAAATTTTAAAGATCATTTAAAGTGATACACAATCCAGTCTGCAATGGAATGTGCACCTTACCAGGCTGAACAAGGGATGACGGTATAAATCCTGTTTCTGACATTCACTTAGCTTCTGGTGTCTGCTCTCACCAGTGAACCATGTGGCCAGAGAGCTTGTAGCTTCTTCCTTCATCAGCAACAGCAGTTCAAATTCAAGGGAAAAAAAAAATTTAAGGAAGAAAATAAAACTGAATTCATACTATATTAGTCATTTCCCACAAGTAAAACCTTTAAAGTCAACTGCTACATACCAAGAAAGAATTTGGCCCCATAAGAAGAAGGCTGTTGAGCAACCTTGGATAAACTTAACACACAGCACAAAGCAGTAAGCTGCTCTGCATAAGAGTTACAGCGATCATTGATTACACGTCAGTTCCTGAGCTGCCCATGCTCAGGCCCACACAGGCCTAGGTAGGTAACTCGAACTACCAACCACGGCAGAAGAGAGCCACTGAACAGAAAGCACATTCCCAGGAGATGATACGGAATGATTGCCAACATATTCTCCTTCTAGTCTAAGTCTCCTTTAAAAAAAGCCAATATTATAACAACAAAGTTCTCAAGGATTAAAAATAACACCACCAAAACAACAACGGCAGCCTACGTGAGGACAGCTTACAGCAGGGAGCACACACAGTGCTGCAAGGCTGCCAACCCCGTTTACCCATGAACAAAATACAATTTTTTATCTCCTTCCAGAACTGTTTAAAGTATTTTCAGTTACAAACTCTTCCAGCATATACAGACTGTCTACATACAAGGACAAGCATGTTTCACAAACTGGTTGTTAACGCACATAAAGACCATCCTGTCTCTTCAGAGAGCAAGGATGTACACGAACAGCAGCGAGCTACAAATATGTGGACACATTGATAACAAATGTTATCAGCTCCAGAAAAAGCGTCAGCAAATAATTACAGGGGTTATCATGCACCACATCAGTACTCGGCACCAGCAGGCTACCTGCGTTTTCATTTCGCTCTGTCACCACTCCAGCATGCTGAGCTTTCCAGGACAATTTCATCCTGAGCGTATGTTCATAAAATAGTTTCTAAATGAATAGCAACAAAGAGGTGGCATCTAGCAACAAAACCACGTGGAACATATTCTTTCATACAGCGAGTATAACTAAACATTACATATGCTGAGAACTGCTATACATTTTTAATGAAAGAACGTTTCTGAAACAAAGTGAGAAAAATGCTTGTAAAAATACTTCTTTAACCAGTCTGAACAATTGCAACTGCAAAGTCTCTCTCTATGTATACAAACTAAATGAACAGTCCACGAGTAATTTCTGCAGTATGTTTCTCAATCACTACTAACAAATGCCAAATTCAGATTAAAGCAAAGAACACTTCTTGATGTCTCCACATGCAAAATTTCCCTTTCCTAACATTAGAAAGTCACCATTCCACTATAATCTAGCCACTTTATTTTTACCACCCTCAAAAGAACAGTAAACACCCTCTGAAGCAAAACCAGATAGATGCAATCGTTGACCTAACCATCCTAACATGGCCCAATTCACGTAGAGCAGATGTTCAATGGGACTGTTTTACACTCTCTCTTCTGACACGATGCTTAAAAAGAAGATCACAAGGAAAAAGAGAAGAAACAACAGCCCGGGTACAGGTTCCAACTGACTCACTCATGCTAGGCAAGCTCAGGCCACAAACCTTAAGTAGCACTTAACGTGGAGCGCAGGGTGCAGAATCTGTTCCTCAAGATGCTCCTCCAGCCATAATCCCTACATCTGAAACAGCAGCTCCCAAAGCACAGCCCACCTGCAGCTCACCAGGCCTCTGTACAACAGTACCCAGAGCAGCTTTTAACCAGAAGGCTTTAAGAAGACCAGGGTCAGCCTGCTCCGAGGCTGCTGGCACTCCCACAGTTACTGTCTCTCTCTGGAAACTCATACACTTCTGAGAAAATATTCTCAGGTACAACTACACACAAGTTCAAGCTAGTTCCCAGTCAGCCATGGCCTCCCTGAGCCTCTTGCAATCTTAAAAATTCCAAGTCTGAGATGCGGTAATAAAATTCTCACATCAATCATGTTTATATCTGTACTAAATAACGCTGCTGAATCACTCATATCATAAACTTATGCATGTGTAAAGCCTGTCAAGTCCTCTGAATACAAAAGCACCAGATATAAATGTTATACTCACTGACTTACTGTTACAACATCAAGTCTCATATGAGCAAGAGCTTGGGAATTCCTGCTCTCCATGAACTAATTTATTCAGAATTCACTGCGAGACAGGTGTACCAGTGAAGCTGCTAACAGGACAGTCACACACTGGAGAACACATAACTAGTGACTCTTTCTTTTCTTGATATATTCCTGTGGTCCACAAACTTTCAAGAGTTCAGTGAATTACAACCTGACAGTTGTTTTGTGTCTATTACTCTACAAAGATAATTGAAGAGATAAGCAGTGCCTGCTGTAATATTTGCAACTTAAAGAGAATTATCTTTAACTGAAGTTTTAAGACTTAGGGTGCATAACTTTTCACAGATGCTTCTCACACTACAGGGTTGACACACATTGTCCTAGGCTGTCAGAAGCTCTAATTAAGCAAAATAAAACAGTGGTAATAACGGCACAACCCTGCAAAGCACCCAGAGTTTGCTGGGTGCCACGCACACACAGCACGGTGACACCACAGGGGAAGGCAAGACTGCCACCTGCCCAGGTCAGGAAGTACAGATCTCCTTGCTCCCTCTTCCCTCACGTTACTGAGGAACCAGGCAGCGCCGTGTGGCCGCGGAGCCAAGCAGCCTGCTCGCTGCCCCCCTTCCCCTCACCACGGCCACAAATACCTATTAAACCCCAAACCACGCAGCAGCCCCGCACCTTGCGGGAAAGCGGCTTTCCCGGGAGGACCAGTAGCGGTCCCAGGGGGGTCGCCCACCCCCCAGCTCCCGTGCCATGCCCCAGGCAGGGCTGCTGCTGGCGGCGGGGGCCGAGCCCCCCGGGGCAGGCAGCGAGGGGCGCTGCAGGAGGGGGCCCGGCCGGGCGCGCCACGGCGGGGCCGCGTCACGGATCTGCTGCTGCCGGCAGCCAATCAGCGCCGGAGCCGGGGCCGGCGCGACTTCATTCATTCATTCATAAAAAAGAGGCGCTGGGAGCGGCGCCCTTCCGGGCCCCCCCGGCACTCACGGCAATCCGCCTCGTCGCTGTTATCCGAGCAGTCGTCGTCCTCGTCGCATTTCCAGATGGCGGGGATGCAGCGCTCGTTCCGGCACTGGAACTGGTCCTCCTCGCACTCCTTGACGCCGCCTGCGAGACACGGGGCCGCGCCTGGGTCAGCGGGGAGAGCTCCGCCACCGGGAGCATCCCGGGGCCGCTCCGACACCGGGCAGGGCCCCGGGGACCGGCGGGGACAGGAGCCGGGACCGGGCTCACCAGGGCTGAGCGGCTCGGGGCGAGCAGCGGGAGCACGGCGGAGCCGCTTTGTGCGCGGATGGAAGGGGCCGTTCCCGAGCTCCCCCGCGTCGATTTAGAGGCACGGGATGACAGGGGAATGGTTGAATCCCGAACGCGAAAGACAAAGAAAAATTAAAAAGCGCACCGATGCTGGGACCGCCACGCGCCCGTTACCGGGGCGAAACGGCCGGGCACATGGGGATGGGGGGTGGCGGGCGCTCCCCGGAAAGGGAACCGACCTGATGAAGTTGAGGGCGGGGGGACGGGGCAAATCTGCTTTGCAGGCGCAGCGCTGCTTTGCCGAGCCGCAAATCCCTTCAGAGAGGGATTAAAGGTGGCAGCTCCCGTCAGCAGCGGCCGCGTTGCACTCCCCGCTAACGAGCGTGCACGGCCCCCGCTCCCTCCTCCGCAACCCCCCTACGAGCGGCGCTACCGGCGCTGCGCCCCCGACCCTCTACCCCCATCCCCTGGGGGAGCCCAGCCGAGGCGTGCTCTCCCCTGGGGGCCGCGCCGACCCCACCTTTGCCGAGGTGCAGCTTGAGCAGCAGCAGCTGCAGCAGCAGCAGCCGGGCGAGCGCAGGCCGGCACATGCTGCCCGCTCCCTCGGTGGCAGCGCGCCGTGTGCGGGTTGCGCGCAGCCGGCGCGCCGCTCTGCGCCCCGCCCCGCGCCGCCGCCAACCAGGCCACGCCCCTGGCCACGCCCCCTCCGCGCGCGCTGCCGCGCCGGCGCGCCCTGGTTTGCGCGCCACCGCCCGCAGGGGGCGCGGGGCTCTGAGCTTCCCCCCCGCGGTAACCGCGGCCCAAAGGGCACCGGCGGGGCTGGCACCGGGAGGCTGCGGGGAGCGGGGAGCGGAGCGGAGCGGGGCGGGCAGCCCGCTGCGGGCAGCCGGAGGGGGGTTTGCGGCAGGTTGTTGGAGCGGCTGTGGGGTGGGAGGAAGGAGGCCGGGGTGGCTGGGCTGGGTGGGTTACGGTAAGTGCCCAAAGCAAATGAGTTGTTTGTAATGTGTTAGGGGAGTTTGCTCTGCTGTAAGTGTGTCAAAATAAAGGTTTGTAAAGCCAGTTCCCGGCCTCCTTCTGTTTTCTGAAATATTTTAAATTATAAGTTGCTCCAGGACAGCAGTGGAGCTATCCAGTACCAACCAGGTGCAAGCGGGCAGAGCATCGCTCCCAGCAGGGATTTGGTACCAATCCATCTTGGAATTTCATTTGATTTCAGACAAGCTGACTTGGCCTGCCTGCCACTCACGGAAAGCAACGTTAGCAGGCTCCTGAACACATCGCTCTGATGACACCTGGCCGAGCGATTCAGCAGCCGCTCCCGGCCTCCCCGGCAGGGCTGCTTGTAGCCTAGTACCATCTGGTGGATGTGTGCGTGTCAAAGGAATTGCAGAGGCAAGGAGGAGACTAGAGGAACTGAAGGGGGAGAAAATTAGCCCAGGGAAACCATTTGGTTTGTAAGAGAAATTAAATTTAGATGTATCCATTATGTTCAAATTGTTAATTAAGACTGGTAATTTACCTCCCAAGGTCCATCTCTTCCAAGCGCACACCTCTGCAGTCACAAACTGAACGGGAATCCCGCTGCTCTCAGCCAGACTGTAGGGAAATCTGTAAAGCAACAACAGCACAGATGTATCTGGCCAAACACGAAGTGTCCAACAGCAAATACACAGCATTTAGTAACCCTTGTATACAAAATACATCTGATATACTGCATTTTCTAGCTGGTGACTGGCTTCATTTGTAGATTTAACACACGCACACGTCTGTCTGTCCCCTCATCACAAGTCTGGTTGCAGCAGGTGAGACCAAGGGTCCCTCCAGCTCCTTCTGATCCACACTGCTCCTGGCAGCAGGTGCCTAAGAGCAAGTAAGAGCAGAGCCAGCACACGGCAATGCTTGCCCAGAATAGCTTCCTGTTTTCCAGGCATTGATGTGGTATGTTTTACCCCTGTCTACTAGCTAAACATTCAAAGTCATCCTAAGCATTCATGCAGAGCAGCCAGCAATGGGACAGCCCCTGCCCCAAAGCACAAATGGGGGCACCAGGGGACTGTGAAGGAACACTCCAATAACCTGCTGTATTTAAAGGCTGCTGATCTGCTCCTACTTCTGGTCGCATACCTCTGTGCATTAAACACCACAAGCTGACACAAATCAGCCTGGTGCTGACAGCGCAAGGAGGTACATCGCAGTAGAGCTCCATCCATCCAGAAGGACTTCCCATCAATTAGCTCCGTGTCTTTCATCATCCACACCATTTCTTTGAGCTACGTCAAACTGATTTTTAAAGCTGGATTTATTTTTTTCTGACGCAGAACCCAACCCTTTTATTTCATACTTAACATTTTTCAACAGTTTGTCACTTAGATCCTTAAGTATCCTGTGACAGCTACAAGTAATAGAGGAGAGAAGTCTGCTCAGGGTCACGATGAACAACTGGCATTCCACACGCTGGATCTCTGCTGTGTTAATCTATCGGGTTCTGTAGTTGTTTACTCACACAGGTATGCACGTACACACCCTCCCAAACCTTTCATTAAGTTAGTTGAACCGATGTGCTAGCTGCCATATCCCTTAAACTCCCAAATGATCTAAGACAGTACCTGCAATATTAGTTGCCTTTTAAAATAAAATTCTCTGATAATAATGAAATAATAATAACTAATAAACTAACTGTGCTGGGAATTTCAAGCTATATGTAGTATTGCATGTTGCATTTAAAACTAGAACTCATTTTCTGCAGCTTCTACTGAGTGAAAAACAAGACAAGCCACCAACCCAGCAAGTGAACATACAGGGTCACTGCTGCTCAGGGCTAGTCCCTAAGACTCTTACACAGATCCTGGTTTTTACCTGCTGTGCTTTTCACAACCTTTCTTGCTGTTTTGGGGATTGCCAAATGTACTTTTGTTTGCAGGTGCTATAGTAAGAGAATTCATCAGCAAAAAAACACTTAGCTCTACAAGGACAACTTCTTCGAAGGTTTTTTCTAACAGTTAGGCCTTCTCAGGGCTCTGTAGAGGACTGCTGTGGAATGAGCAGTCTTTTCTTTCTGTTCCGTTTCGCTTTGTTTTGCTGTGTTATGAGGTAAAGCACAAAGGAAAGATGGTCAGCCATAAACTGACACACTCTTACGACCAGTTCTATACTAACATTGGGAAAAGCTGATCTTTTACTCTCTTGAAAATGAAGACAATCATTTAAACTAATTAGCAAAACTATCTGTAAAAAACACCCAGTAATTTTGCCTTCCTTGTAGAAAAAGCACACACATTCTTTGAAGTTTTAAGTTCAACTTAGTCCCCCTTAGCATACTCAAAGTCTTCTAACGACATCCTTATTTTTAGCTAGTTTGTGGTCTACTGAAAAAGGAGGACATCATACGATCAGCTTTAAGTAAAACTACAAACCCCATCAGTTTATCACCCAAGAACTGTCTCCTACAAGCCAGAATCTCTCACTTCCACAGCCGTAACTGATCTCTGTCCTACAGCTGTCACTCAGCTATCCCTTAGCCAAGCACAAGAAGCAGTATGATACAGCACCGCCTCGCTGCTGGCCAAACAAAATCTCGGAGGTGCTTATTATCCAGGCATGAGACTGCAACACTTACTGACCGGGGCTTCCATTTAAATCTAAAATACCCCGCATCATGTGTTCGCTAACTGCATACACACGTCAGGATATCAATCTGGATCTCAGCTGTGTATATGATTCATGCATTCTCGGTGTGTTCAGAGCAATCCTGACTTACAACCACTCCCATGAACCAAAGCTATGTATGTCTGCCTAACTGCAGACCCAAGCTGGTCCGCTGCCTACCTGCCCCACGTTTTCCTTAGCATTTCAACTGAGGTGTTAACCGGTGTCATTCAGCAGTGCCCATGTAAGGCTCCCAAGTAGCTGAGAAGAGCAGCTCCCTGGGAAGCCGGCTTCCTGAAGAGCACTGCATCACTCACAGGACTCTTCCTGTGTGGCTTCAGATCCATCTTCTTCCATGTCATGCTCTTGTTCCTGCATCTCTGTAGTGAGTTACTCTCAGGGAAGCAGGGGGAAGCTAAGAGATGGTTCGCAGCCCACTGGGAAAGTTTTTATTCAGCTAGAGAGGAGTTAACACAGAAAGCTTCTGCCCTTCATTCCCATCCCAAGGCCGAACACCCTGCCATGGCAGCATCCCTGGACAATACATCTTTGAGTGCAACCAAACCTACAGTCACAATAGGGATCTTTCCCATTAATTTTAATGAGCATAAGAATGAAGGGACTGAGAAGAAAAAAAGTGAGGATTAGGTGTCTGGCAAGATCTTTTGCATGCTGGAGGAGTGCTGCTATAGACTGATCTGCTCTTTGCTGCTGTACAGTGACTAATCACCGTGAAAGCTAACAGAAATGCAGACTTGAGGCCATAGTTAGTAACAAGTACAGTGGGATTTTTTCAAGATGTTTCACTTCAAACTATTTATCCTGCTACTCCTAACAAAGGAATCATGAATTGGAGCAAAACTGAAGTTGACAGTGTCTCGTGTCACTCTGCAGTGACCATCTACCAAAGCTGTAAGCAGCAGATTAGTACCACAGCCTGCTGTTTGCTGTATGGCTCCCAAAGGGCTTAGACACAGTGCGACCTAGTAGCAGCATCAAGCCTGGATTTTTTCTTGCCTTTTAAAAATTCTGTAAGCTAGGGGCTCACTCCGTTTCTCTCCCACACCTTATTTGTTCAGGCCCCAGCACTGCGAAGAAGTGCTGCATTGTGCGGGGATGGCAGAAGCAGGGACAGGGGCTGGTTCCGTGAGGTGCAAAATGCCCTCAGCTCCTAGCAGCCCTCTGGAAAGCTCTAAGCATCCTGAAGGCTCACACAAATTATTTTAGCATTAATTACAACATCAGGGAGCAAACAATACCCAAACGGGAATTTAGGATGACGTCTGCATGGAATGTTTCTCATTATATTTGTATGGATTTCACATGGCAGCAGAACACTTTAAAACCCATCTTGCGCTCCAGATAGTGCTGTCCCTCTGTCCTCATGCTAAGTGGAATTGGAAATTCTTACAGCTGCTTGACAAGGCTGGCTTTCTTTATGGGGGAATATGAACTCAACGTTTATTTTCCTTTTTAAAGGGAAAGATCATTAAGAGCAACTTTTTCAAGGTCTCGTTCTGAATGTTGTTTTTCTTCCTTCCTCTTTTGATTTACTGGCTTGTCTTTAATGATGTCTTTCAAAGGCTTCCCATTAGCTCTTGCCATCTCATCACTTTCAATTCCTACCTGACAAGAGAATTGTGCATAGACTAAAGATTTCAGCTTGGTTAGTATGGAATAATTTGTCTTTCAAAGTGGATAAAATCAAGCTAGTTTTTTAAAACTTCCCAAAATGTTATGGAGGAAGAGGAAGAAGAGGGAAGAATTGGGAGATCTTTTTTCCAGGAAAGAAGAATCCAATAATCATCTTGCAAAGGTGGGTCTGATGTTTGAGTATCTCCTGCCTTTGCATGGTGTTTTGCTTAGTTGATGATAAAATTCATATTTCTGGGTGTCTCTATGCACAATTTCATCACAGACACATTAGAGCCACATTACAATTGTGTTACACATTACAAATATAGCCTAGTTTACATTTCTGAGTTGGGAAAAACTTGGTTCTTTGAAGCTGAAAATGTTTGTACGTGAT